CATACTGCCCCGCGCTGAGAACATAAAGAGCAGTGCTACACCCTTTTTTCACTTGTGCCTTTCAGGTGAACGACAGCCACTGACCGACAAGAACAAAACCGACCCGGGAGACTTGGGCAATAACCTCGATCCTGTGTATCAATCCGTGAAATCCGTGAGTCCCTTCTGTGCACAGGACCCGTTGTTTTACGATATATTTTAGATCCTGACGAAATCATCATGTATTTTTCTGTAACCACTTTTATAGACTGCTCACTTTTATTCACATCACTGCTGATTTTTAATTAACGTTTTGAAGGCTGCTGTTTAAAAATTCGCTGCTATTTTTGGACTGAGCCATTTATTGTACAACGTGCACTTTCTCCTATGTTTTTAAATTTCGTCAAGCCCTACGTTTGCTTGGACCCTTTTTCCTGTTCCAGACCCGGGGCATTTAAAGCAATACATACATTGGCCGAAACCATCTGCTGTTCGGCTGTTCAGAGGACTGCATAAGAGCGTGCAATTCAATGCGGTCAAAGGAGGAATATTTTTGGATGATGTAGATTCGTCACCGAGGCCATCAGGCACAGGCAAATGTTACAGGCTTGTGCATAGGGATGACAATTCGACAAATTTTCCCGACAACTGCATTTTGCTTGACAGTCAACTCCATGTCATTGTAGATTTTTCTGCGAAAACTATTGAATGTCAGACATTCTAAACACCCCTGTTTTTTACACCCACGAAGTGAAATCAACAAACGTTCCATTTATTCAGTGGTCTGACTTGCAACACACTCGGTTGGCCGCATGAGTCAATACAATACCTTGCAAATGTTTAAGTTTTCCCACAGAAACAATAGTATATACTTCCTTATTTTGCATACCCTACTAAGTAGCCAGTACTTTCGCCGCTGATACCCGGCGAATGCTATCATTTGCTACTTGTATTACCCAGCTTTCATAAAATAAGGCTTTCACGTGCATGTGGACATTCCTCTCCCGAATTTCGTGTTGGGACTATGCTTTCCAGCCACCTACGCTGTTCTAATAATTGACAACAACTCTTTTGGTGTAGTGCATGAATCGTGGTTCGTACAGCCCGATTCATTCCTTTGACCCTCGTGCTAACTTGCCAACTGGAACCCCGTCCACGTTTCCTTTGAGGTCGTGCACTTAAGAAGTGTTCGGGCCTCTCAGTAAGTTCATGTTCACTTTAAAATATTTTCCGGCACTTGCGGATGCACTAAGTGCTCAGAAGGAAGCCTTTGACCCACGGCATACTTACTCCGTAGAACAGCAAGATGAAGGGCTCCGACGGGAATCTAAGCGCAAAAAGTATATTTATCGATCGTACTGTGATCGTTGCAGTGAAAACACCTACCGTTTGATTTTACAGATGAATTGGATCATTATTCTAGTGGTAATACCATCTTCTTTTCAAACATAATCAAAGCCCACAAGCTCAAAAAGGACTACATTCCTCCAGGACATGGCACTCAGTATTCGCACAATGGAATTGAACTTTCGAAAGTTATGACGTGTTCCTGATGGACTAAGGCAACCGGACAACTGAGTTGAAGGTACCAGTCCAAACTTTTAAGCCCCATTTAGGCATCCCAGGGTCTAAGCGATTTCGGGAAATTATCCCACAAAACTTTTCAGCCAGAGGCATGGTCGTTTCAGGGAACAATGAAATTTGGTGTGATGAAAAAGTATGAACGTGGATTTTAACGGTTTTTGCTTGAACACATACGCAACAAAATGCATTATTTTGACGCACAAAGTTTTACCACAACTAATGCAGCTGAGAGCACTGTGCGGATAATAGACACTTTTTATTGTGTTCATTTTTGTCCTAGATCTATCAATTCGGAAACGATCATCCTACCCGTTTCTGAGGCGCCATCCGTTCTGGGTGATGCCCCGATGATATATAGAATGTACTTTTGATTTCGTTACCACCATCTAAGTTCTACCAGCAGTCCCACACATACACCACTTCCTGCCGTGGGAGATCCGGGAACGCCTCGTTCGACGCCCCTCCTCAAGTTTGTTTTACATACAGTATACCTTACCTTCTAGAACAAACTCGCCGGATTCAGAAGCCAATGTAATTTCCTGAGGCTTGGTCAGTCTCATTCTCAGTGAGCAACTTGTCACGTTTTAACTTGACTGTGTTAGAGAGAATTTGGAGCAGATTTGCTCCTTGCTTCAGAGACTGCCTATGAAGCCGGGCGCTTCAGTACTCACAAGCAGTTCTCAGGTGCGCAAATGAGCCCCTTCTACCCATTTCATCTATGGAACAGCTCCGCAGGTATGGAGGACATCCCAGAGATGATTCGCGCCGTGCACAGCTGGTAAGTATCTGTCGTAGCCACGAAGGTTGATTTCAGAAATGTGGAAGTGGCTCCTACAGGAGGCTGGCGATGTACAACTGTGCTTGACCGCCATACACGGACGTTGGCAACAAGACTCGCCGTACTAAATAATTGACGCTGTATACATTTAAAAAAGCATTTGGGTAAACAGGGCTGGCCCAAGGACTCGTTTCTATATATTTAAAGGTTGTTTTTTACCTAGTTTATTGAACAAGTGCCTGGATAAAATTCGATAAATATCTTTTTACATTACGGACGTGAAAACTGACTGGTTTTCGAACACCAATTCACGGGAAATCAAAGAAATCTTCATTGTTGGCTGGAACAGGAACGACTGAAAGTTTAGAAACACCTGCCGAGAGCTACCAAGAATGACAAATAATTCTCTTGTAATTATTTAAATTCATGCATGTAAAAATTTATACTTCAAAATCACTTATTTATATCAAGGAAATTAATATGCTGAGGAAAGTTGTGGGGATAGATGCGTTATCGTTGCACGGGATTACAGTATTTTAAAAGTTAGTGAATCATGCTAGAGGAAGAAGTAAATGCCTATAATGGGCTAAATTTCCGCGCCGGACAAATCTAGCTAAGTGCGGACTGGGTG